CGCCAACTCTTGGTCTACTCTTTTACCAACGAATAGTGGTATTGACCATCACTTTATAATGCCCCCATGGCTGAAAGGGTGCGCATGTTTGGTATGACGGGGCCTCGAACCTGCGACCCCCAGATTGCGAGTCGAGCCCCCTAACCACCTGGCCATGCTGGGCCCAACAGAAATATACTAAAATCTAGAAAAGTTAAAATTTAGCTTCATGCTAAACTTACCAATGCTGAGAGCAGTCAGCGATGCCATATAAAACTGTTTGTAGCCTCGTGGCTCTGGTGAAGCTTGGAAGTCAAAAAAACTTACAAGAACTGCCTGGCAAAATAACAATAAATCTTTTACTAAGAAGAATGAAAACATTATTGGATTACAAAAATATTTTTTATAAATATGTACACTGCTTAATACATTTCAAAAATACAGATTTTTGTTTTATATTAATCATAAATTAATCTTTAATACCAATGACAAAGATATTCCACAATGGTTTTGAAGGAAGACGTGATATGTATGAATCTTCCAAAATCTTAATATCAATAGAAGAATATAAATATTCAGTAATTCATTGGTCATGAAAAAATAACAAAATAAGAATAAAAAATAATTAATATCAGAATAATTAATTACTTTTATTTTATAAATTAAAGCAAATACTAATATGAAGCATTCCTAAACTACAATTTTCAGTTTTAATTTTGTATTGGGAGGGGGGGGGAGGAATGCTGAAATTTTCCTTTTAATTTTTTTTATTCATCAATTTGTGTAAAGTGCATCTAATTTTCACTGGTATTTGGAACTTTAATAAGTTAACCTACTTGTAATGAAGAGGAAAAAAAGAAAATAAGTTTAAAAATTCAATTCTCTAAACAAATGAAAATCAGTTTCAATAAATTATAAAATGATTTACCATTAGTTAAATAAGCATAATACAATGCAGTGGTTTTCAAACTGTGTTACATAGAATCCCAGTGTTCTGCAAAGGGTCATATAATACAATGCAGTGGTTTTCAAACTGTGTTACACAGAATCCCAGTGTTCTGCAAAGGGTCATATAATACAATGCAGTGGTTTTCAAACTGTGTTACATAGAATCCCAGTGTTCTGCAAAGGGTCATATAATACAATGCAGTGGTTTTCAAACTGTGTTACACAGAATCCCAGTGTTCTGCAAAGGGTCATATAATACAATGCAGTGGTTTTCAAACTGTGTTACACAGAATCCCAGTGTTCTGCAAAGGGTCATATAATACAATGCAATGGTTTTCAAACTGTGTTACACAGAATCCCAGTGTTCTGCAAAGGGTCATATAATACAATGCAGTGTTTTTCAAACTGTGTTACATAGAATCCCAGTGTTCTGCAGAGGGTCATATAATACAATGCAGTGGTTTTCAAACTGTGTTACATAGAATCCTAGTGTTCTACAAAGGGTCATATAATACAATGCAGTGGTTTTCAAACTGTGTTACATAGAATCCTAGTGTTCTACAAAGGGTCATATAATACAATGCAGTGTTTTTCAAACTGTGTTACATAGAATCCCAGTGTTCTGCAGAGGGTCATATAATACAATGCAGTGGTTTTCAAACTGTGTTACATAGAATCCCAGTGTTCTGCAAAGGGTCATCAGGGGTTCCCCACAATGATAACAGGTAATGGCATTTTTTTTCAATCACTGTGTGCTGACCCATCAGGAACCAAATGTATTTTTAAAAATCATTTGATATTCAGTCTTCTACATGCAGTTACATTAACAATACTGTTACGAACTTGGTCATTTTCAGCTAGGCTAGGCTTTAACGATAGGTTAATGGTTGGAGTTCTATGATAAAAAGAATGGAATAAAGGAGTTCCATGGTTTCATTAAGTTCCAAAGCCATTGATATAATGTCTTCTTTAAGAGGAATTAAGGTACATCACCAAAACTGGAACATCATATGATACATTATGAAAAATCTGGATATAAATGTTATTTCTTTAGATGTGTATTAAAGCTGCCTAGGGTTATTGTGAATTATAATATATTTTTGGCCACCTACTCCGAAGGGCAGCTGCTACTAAAACAAAGCACTCTGAACAAGCTGAAAGAAAAGACAGTACCAACAAAAATATTACATGATCAAACTACTTGATGACCCAATAAATCAATGGAATAAACAAATAGTACTTCTGAAACATTCCTACACTGATAAGGTAAAGAAACTGGGTCAAGAGTGAGAAGTTAACAGAATGAATAAACAGCCACATGCCAAATAGCCTGGTTAGGAACAGTATGTATCTAGTTATTATACTGCCTTAACTAGAATGGCAGTTTGACAGAACAGGTAGAAAAACCTTGGTTGGATACAAGTAAGGTCTTCTTTTAGTTAGGTTACCCAGGATGGCAGTTTGATAGAACAGGTAGAAAAACCTTGGTTGGATACAAGTAAGGTCTTCTTTTAGTTAGGTTACCCAGGATGGCAGTTTGATAGAACAGGTAGAAAAACCATGGTTGGATACAAGTAAGGTTTTCTTTTAGTTAGGTTGCCCAGGATGGCAGTTTGATAGAACAGGTAGAAAAACCTTGGTTGGATACAAGTAAGGTTTTCTTTTAGTTAGGTTGCCCAGGATG